GAGGCTTGATCAGACTCCTGTCTTGCCTCCATTTCTCACGTCTCTTGCCCCTCTTCATTCCCAGTCCCTTTTTCAGGTATCCACGTTGTTTGATGACCTGCGGGACGGGACGGGTCACACTGGGATATATTTTATCCGAAATTCAAAACTTGATGTAATAAGTAGCGCTTAAATGGTGTTTTATTAATCTGTAAACCATTTAAAAATCCTTAGTCCAACACTTGGGATCAAGTGTTTCAGAAGTAGTATTTATCTAGCCACTTTTAAGAACCTAACACTGACCTGAAATCTTTGTCAATTGATTATTAGTAAATGAATACTTGTATCCTCCCTGGCGCAGCTTTCAAGACGCGAGGAAAGCTGCTGTGAGGTGTTGTGCTAGGTTGGTTTAATGTGTCAACCTGACTAATAGGAACATATGGATTAATAAGGTCGCAGTTAGGGTGGAGGCAAAGAGATAAAAGGTCGGCGAGCCCCGCCTGTCTCCCTCTTTTCTCTGTGGCTGCCTTAGCTAATTCCCTGCCTCAAATTGAGAGCGACACTACCTGCACACCTGAGCAGATGACACACACAGGCAGACTCTACCTGGGCAGGTGACATACACAGCCAGCGCACACCTGGGCAGGTGGCCCTGGATAAAGTGGGGCCATCCCTCTGCTTGCCCCCTGACTCGGTCGTCCTGCTGCGGGCTCTGCCCCGGACCTGCGCTGATGGTCACACCTGGTAGCTGCAGGTGAGCAGGCCAGTTTGAGTACCTTTGTGTCAGGAGCCATCCTCTCCACTTCCAGGAAGACGGACTTGACTTCTGGGAAGCCCTGGAGCCTCTTTAATGGAGCAGCGCGTCACACGTGAGCCTTTTGCCCTCACATAGCTGCCCCGGGATTCATTGTGAGTACAGGGGGGCGTCTCAGGGGTGCACAGGGCAGCCAGGCAACCGATAGTGGGGGAGGACCTGGGGTCTCCCTGAAGGGTGGAACTCCACAGTTCTCTGACAGTGCAGCCTGTCCCTGGAGGCCGGGGCTCTTCCGCAGAAACGAAGGTGGACAGCAGGGGCCCTGTTGTGGGGCGACCGGTGCCAAGGGGGCGCTGCCCAGGGGCAGCGGGTGGGCGGCAGGCAGGTTGGCCGGCCCAGAAAGTCGGCTAAAAAACCCTGAGCTTCTGCAGGGAGCGGGCTGCAGCTCACGCCAATCCTGGAAGGGCCTGCCTGCTGAGGGGTGGACCTGGGACATAGGGCTGGCGGGCAAGGAGGGGAAGACCGGTCTGCAAGCTCGTCCCCGCAGCGCACCTATTAGCTGCTCGAAATTGCCACAGCCGAAGACCAGCTGGCTGTCGGGCGTCTTCGTGGGCACCAGCCGTCCAGCGTGTGCACCAGAGACAGGGCCTTAGCCACACATCACGCAGCGGCAGCCTGAGGGAAACGCCAGTCAGAAAACAAACCCGAGGACCACGCCTCCTAGGGGTCGCCACGCCCAGAAACGCTCGGTCTCGCGCCCTCGTAGCCCCGCCCCTCCTCCGAATCACCACCTAACGTCGGCGGCCCCGCCCTGAACATTAGGCCCGTTACCTGGGGTCAGCGTCCGCTTCTGAGGCCCCACTCAATGTCTGGGTGAATCAAGCACTCGCACTGGGCGCCGGCTGGCAGCGGGGGCTCTCTGCTCAGCAGCGCCTCTTCCTCCTCGTCGTCCCCTCTTCCTCTCCCTCCGAGTCTGCATCTTCTGGCTCCTCTCCCCGGGCGTCCGCCCTCCACACGGGGCCCCATCCTCTGCCACCGCGGCTCCCCGCGCCCGGAAACCCGGGACCGAAGGCGGTGAGCGCGCGAACGGGGTTAGCGGCGGCCGTGAGTATCGCGAGAGAGCCGGAACCCCAAGCGGACTCTGGGGCCACGTCCCGCGTCTCCCGCTACGAGGGGCGGGACTTCCGCCACGTCTTCATAAGCCTCGCCCCGTCGCGAGCTCTTCCAAACTGAAGCAGAGCTGCGCTGCACTGAATCAGTGCGAGGTCTCGGTGGGCGTGGTCTTCTCTGGGAGCCCTGCCCTGGGTTCCTGACTGGGGAGCACTGCTGGGGCAGCAGCTGACTGATGGTCATGTGTTCAAGCCCGCCAACAGTACCGTTGAAGCAAGATTTGCTTCCTTAAAGAGGATAGCCTATGGTGTCACGTGGGGTCGCTGTGAGTCAGATGGGACTCCTGAGCACCTGACCACAAAATGAGCAGTGGACCCACCCTGGTCCCTTCTGGAGTCCTAGTGGCACCGTGGTTAAGTGCTATTAATGGAAAAACCAGCCGCATGAACCCAACGTGGGAGAAAAGACAGGCAGTCTGCTCTCATCAGGATCATTGTCCGGGGTCGTTGAGCCAGTTCCACTCACAGCAACCTGATGTACAACAGAATAAAGTACCACCAGGGCCTGCACGATGGTCACCAGCGTTATGTTTGAGCTCATGGTTGCAGCCACTATGTCCGTCCATCTCCTGGAGAGCTTTCCCTCTTTTCCCTGTCCCTCCACTTTACCAAGCAGGATGTCCTCCAGGGACTAGTCTCTCCTGATATGTCCAAAGCACATGAGACCAAGTTTCATCATCAGATTAGAATTCCAGGGCACCCCACGGGACAGTACTCTGTTACAGGGGTCACTGTGAGTCAGCATGAACTTGGAAGCTCAGCAAGTCTCAGAAACACTCAGATACCTGCCATCCCTGTAGGATGCCTGGGACCCCGAGGTGGGAGATCTGCTAGGGCAGCTCAGGAAGAGCACACCCCACCCCAGCCTGTGTGCATAGTCTGGAACACTCTTATCTGTGTGGCGTCAGCTTTCCCATTGCACTGAGTGCCTCAGGCCCCAGCTTCAAACTCGGCCCCCACAGAATAACTGCATCCCATTCAAACTCACCTCTCCACTTGTGTTAGGCCAGGTGTGAAGGAGCCATTAGAGGAGCACTGTGTCTCATGTCATGTATCTGTCTAGGACAGTGCACAAACGTCTGTCCTAGCTGGTTCTCATAAACTGCTTCCTTACTGCAAACGGTAAGGAATTCTAGGGGGCAGCTGCAAACAGTGTTCCCTGGTAGAAAGAAAATAAGACTGGGACTGGCCGAGATAGGGAACTCACTCTTAAGGCTATGAGAAATTCAAGTGTGGGAATAGCAAACTTGTCTAGGAACACTGCCAGGATTTGGTACATCAAAATAAAGCACTGTGGGCCGTCAAGGCTTCAGTTTGTACCGTCTCTGTCTATTTTGTGCTGCAATCCTGTATTGTCTCTTTGTGTGTGTGTGTGTGTGTTTGGTTCTTTGTTCATTCTCCCTGCTCAAGAAACCGCGGCATCAAGGTGGACTAGAGTAACCAATCCAGTGACACTCAGATATGTGTAAGAGAGTTTCAGATCAGTAACTAATTAGACATCAATAAAACATCCCAGCCCAGTCCAGATCAAGTCCATCAGTCCGACACTAATGCCTAAGTCTCTCTTCAGACTCACGCAGCCACATGCAATGATGCAAAATCCAGGAAGATCACAGGCCGGTGGGTGCAGTCTTGTGGATCGAATGGCAGTGGACACATCTCCAGGGCTTCTGCAGGTCTCCACAGGGCTCATCAATAGAAAGGTGAAGGTAGAAAGAGAGGGGAAGTTCCCAGGACCTTCCTCATGAGGAGGCCATGCCCACAAGGTGGCTCCATCAGGCTGTGACCTGATTGACAGGTAGACTCCACCCCAATCCTTCAAGTTCACATGGAGTTCTGTAACACCCACACCACTCACAAGAATAAAGGCTCCTTTGTTTACACTGATAAATTAATAGCATTTCACATTAATGCACTGCACTAAACCTGAATGACAGCAAGATGTCCCTTTTTTTTTAAAGTAAAGTAAAAAGATGTGTAGGGCCTGGCTGAGGTGGTTGACATGGGGAGACCGGAGAAATGGGCAGAACCTCCCTGTGTCTTCATATCTTCCCTGTGGGCTGCCTGCCCGGGAGCCCAAAGGAGGCAGCACTCGACCCCATGCACAGGAAGCAAATGCTGCCCCTCCTACATGGGATGCGAATCAGATCATTGTGCCCAAGGGTTTTCACGGCCTCATTTTTCAGACGCACATAGCCAGGCCTTTCTTCCTAGTCTCTTAGCCTGGAAGCATGCCTGCAATCTGTTGAGTTCCACAGCAACCCTCTGTCTCCAGGATTGCAGCTACTGTGTCTGTCCATCGTGTTTATGGCCTTCCTCCTCTTTACCCACCCTCTCCTTCACCAAGCACGATGTCCTTCTCCTGGGACTGGACCCGCCTGTACTGTGCCCACCGTATGTGAGAGGTCAGTCCTGCTGTATGGGGGTCCAGCCTCCCCACCCGAATGGGTCTTAGGGGGCGGTTGTTGTGATTCAAGGGTAAATTAAGGAGACATCAGGCAAGGGCTCACCTCTTCCAAGATGGCAGGATCTAGAGAGAGAGTTCTCTGATGCGCTTATGTAATTTTGGGCTAGAAAGCCCTAGTAAGCACCTACGTAACAGGAAGGGGATGTGCTAGGGGCATACATGGGACAGGAAGGCACATAAGTAACAAGATGGGCAGGTTCTAGAGTTAAGATGGTGGCTTAACCTTGGTGGTCTCTGAGCTGGCCTGGCCTTAAGTGTCTGTCAGCTCTTCTCCAGGGTTGAGCAATCTATGACCCTTATCCGAAGGAAGGGGGCCGTGCTTCGGATGGGGCGGTCTGATTGGTCTTGATGGCAACCAGCCTTCAAGTGTATATAGTAGCAACCATGTGTTTGCAAGCAGCACCTTACCATTGGCATTATTACAGGCTGGACAGTCTAGGGGCACAACTTGAGTTAGGAGAATGTGACTGGGCTGCTTCGCCAACCCACGGACATGAAGGTCTCCCTTCGCCAAGAGTCTCAGTCTCCCAGACTCCTTAACATAAGAGCATGGAGAAGGCAGAGCTGCCCCTGGCAGCAGCCTCTCCACGGTGCCTTTCTCTTGTTGTAAGCACTGTGAATGCAGGTCAGTGGACACGGAAAAGCCACGCTCAGCCTAGCGGCCAGCAGGGAGCGCTGCACCCACGTGTGAGCCTGGTGGACGCTGTCACCTGCTGGCGCAGGCCTGTCCCTACAGCGCAGCCTCGATTTGACGTGAAAGGGGGACCTGATGAAAGACCCAGTGGTCAGTCGCTGGGCTCCGCGCTAGGCAGGAACCGCGGCATGGTCTTCAGCTCTACCCACTTTCAGGATGATCCCAGGCGCCACATCAGAGCGGAGGCAGGCTGCAGCCGGCCCGCCCCTTCCCCAACCCTGTCTTTTTTGAGTCCCAGGAGTTAGCAAGGACTCTCATTCTTGGTTTTCACAAGTTTTAATGCTCGGTTATTTTAAAAAATAATTTATTGTGTTGTAGAGACTATGAAAACTTAATGCTATGGGGTCGATTCCGATTCACAGTGACCCTGCAGAACTGCCCCGGTGGGTTTCCCAGGCTGTCAGTCTTTCCGGGAGCCTGGTCTTTCTTCCTCAGATAGCCTGGTGGATTCGAACTGCTGACTTTGCAGTTAGCAGCCCAACGTTTAAGCCACTACGCCACCAGGGCTTCTTTCAGAAGATGATGGGGGCTTCAAGGTGTTGGTGGGAAAATCCTACTGTTTTAATTCCATCTCTCCACACACAGTTTGAAACCCCCTGGTATACATGGGAGCGCACGTGTGCAGTTCAGGAGTGACATGCGCTCACCAACCCCCACCACCCAGCTTCCTGTAAATATTTTAAGTTGCTCTGGCGTTGGAGTGGCCACACAATGAGCTGCTCACCACAAGGTCAGCAGTTCGAACCCACCAGCTGCTCCGTGGAAGAAAGGTGAGGCTGTCTGTGCGCATTAAGGTTTGTTTAAAGTAACAGAAACCCCAAAGGGCAGTTGTACTTAGTTCTCCTCCGTGGCAATGAGTTCAGATTTGGTTTTCAAAGATCCTGATCCAGCAAGGAGCCATCAAGCACGTGCCATTTGTCACAGACAGCGCAGGGGTTTATGTCCCAGCGATGGGGGTGCGGCACCGGGGAGAGCTGGGGAGAGGGAGAGACGAAGATGAGCCGTTCAAAGAGAACCTCGGACCAAGGTGAGGAGGAGCTCACAGCTGGTGGTACTTGGAGCTTGGTTTTGTGAGGACCGTGCTTTCTTTGGCTCTCAAATACTGGTAATTTTAAAGATGGTCATACAGGAGCTGGTGCCACCCTCCCCCTGAGGGGCGTGGCCTGCTCTAGGGACTTGGTCTGACAGCTGGCGTGGGCCTGGCTGTGAAGGCCGGGCCCAGGACAGGGCGTGGCCTGCCCCAAGATGGGATCCAGGAGGTAGGTGTCACTTCGGCGGCGTGGCCTTACAGAGGTTGTGGTCTTGGCAGAAGAAGAGAGTCCCTGAACAGGGCCATGGTCTGCCTCCAGAGTGGATCTAGGAGGCTGATGTCACCTGGGGGGCGTGGTGGACTCTAGGGGCGTGGTCCTATATGTGGAGACAGGGCCCAGCTCAGGGAGGCGTGGCCTGGCTCGAGAGAGCCGAACTGGAAGGCTGATGTCACGGCACAGGGTGTGGCCTGACAGGTCCAGGTCCCTTTGTGGACCTGTGCATCTGCCTGTTCCCCCACCCATGTCTGTCCACTGTCCACTCTGCTGCTCTCGGGCAGCTTTCCACAAGACGTGAGTTCCAGACCTCCCAGATGGGGTGCAGCCTCATAAGCATAAAGGGGACTCTAATTCCTGCCAGGGCCTTAGCCCCAGGGAGGGCTGCCCATGAGCGTGGGACTCACACAGGCCCT